TCTCGACGAGTGCTGTGCAAGTCCTTGCAAGTGTCCCGCCGGCAGATCTTATGGCAAGGGAAAGGGAGGAAGTATTTCTTCTTTATAAAAGAAGAAATAATTTGATTTAAAATGTATTTTTTATTGACTTATGCTTCAGCAAACGTATTTGAAAAATGCTTCGAGACATTCAGTACAATTTAAATATAACTTCCCGATTTTTTTGCGTAGGTATATTATTCCATTAATTTTAAATTCTGTTATAAAAAACGCCTATATCATCAGAATCTAATTTGATTGTTACATTTTTATTTCAAAATTCTTTTTTTTTCAATAAATTGGTAAGTATTAAAATTTAAACACCCACAAAATTTAACTATGTGCCCAGCGAAGAGCGCGAAAATTTTTAAGATTTATATATTTGAGGCATTCTTTGTCAAAGGAAGCCCCCTTCTCCCCAAAATTGGTTTAAGTGTAAAAAATCGAGAATATTCTTAAAATTTTTTTTAAAATAGTTACTTTCAATTGCCGACTGGCGTTTTTTAAAATTCAAAATGACGGATCCAAAATAGCGGTCAATTTTTTTAAAATTCACTGGATTCAGTAGAAATTTGTTGCTCGGGGGTTTTAGGAGTCGGTGATTATGAATCTGGTTTCGAAATTTCAAAATTCAAGATACCGGATGCAACATAGCGACCAATTTTTCGAAATTTATTGCATTAACTTGGAAATTGTACGTTGATTTTTAAAAATTTTAAACGATTTTTGAACGGTAATTTAAGAAAACTAGTAACGAACTGTAGTGCCATGATTAGCATTTGGAAACCTTTTAATTTATAATTTGTTTTCGCCTAACACAGTGAAAGAATGGCTTTTTTGGATTTGTGGAACTTTATTAAATCTTGCCCTTAATGATCTTTTAACCCTTTCATGTTCTGCCTTACTGTAATAGAAAATAGATATAGTATTAAAATGATCTTTGGCCCAGGCATAGAGTTTTGCAGCAGTCAAAATATCATCTGCAGGTTTAAAAAGAAGGCTTGCTCTTGCTGCTTCTCCTTTAAATGTGACGCCAATTCCATCGCAAGCATTTTTGCCATGGGCAATCGCATGGTAATGCCAATCAGCTTTAATATCAAAATCTTATTCATGATGCATTAAATTTGTAATCTGATACTTATTTTTAAAACGCTACTTAGCACCGTCACTAAAATAAATAATTTTGTCAAATTCTGTGAGTTTTTTAATTTCAGGTATTAAAAGTCGTTGAATGGTGTGTACAGCAGAAGTGTCATGTTGAGTACAATCGAATAAAAAAATGAAACTGTAATGTTCTAATTTTGATTTCTCCTTAAAATAACAAACTACGGTAAACACAGTATATTGGTCATTGTTATAGTGGAATGCTTGGACTGCATCTTGAACCACATATTTATAATTTTCAGCAAAATCTAAGATTACTAATACTTTATTATCACGAAGGTTAGTTTTCAGATCTTAAAAAAACTGCATTTGTTCATTTGCAATGAACGAGTGAGATTTCAAAACTGAGAGCCTACTACTTTCGATTTCTTCGCCAATTTCTCAGAACATTCAAATTTCCTAGCGATTTTTTTGATACTCCAGGATGTTGGAGCGATCGTTAAAATTGCTAAGCGTTTAGGATTATTTAAATTTAAACTTGAAAGCATTTCTTTCAAGCCGTTTAGCACCTCTTCAAGTTCAATTTCATGTTTTGATTTGTCTTGGGAACTATCAATTTTTGCATTTTCAGGAATGTTGGGAAACTGTCGTTTATGATTTCGAGACAAACCTCGCAATTCTTTACCTTTGTGCCCTTCTTTTTCATAGGGATTACAACATCTATCTAGATGTTCATTTGATTTAATATTCGACATTTTAAAATTAATATCTAAATATCTCATGAACAGAAACTGTAATTCTGTTAAACAGTATTGAGATAAAGCGAGAGATAAACACTATTGTTCAAAGCTTTTAAAGCAAATTGAATTATCTCGGCCTCACAAAAAAAAACAGAATTTATTTTGTTATTAAACAATTGCAACGCGTTACCAATGCGACTTTTAAACAGACGTTGGTTACGCATTGCATTTGTTTAATAACAAAGGAAAGTTGGTTGGTTGCAGACGTTGGTTACGCATTGCATTTGTTTCGCAGTATTCCTGAAAATTCAAAAATTTGTTGTCACTGCAGAAAATATTAAATTCCGCGTAAGGATTTGAATCTATTAGTAGTAAAGCTGAAAAATCAACTAAGAAAATTGACACATAATCTTTATCATCCGCAAAGCTTGATAGTTCCCAAGACAAATCAAAACGTAAAATTGAACTTGAAGACATGCACAACGGCAAAATCTGAAAAAAACAATCAGAAGCAACATTAAAAAACAATAGAATTTTATGAAAATAATTCTAATAGCAGAGTAATGACTGGCGTCAGTTCCAGCAAATTTACTTAAATGTGTCCTAAGAATTGTATTCTAATAGGAAATAGTGGAACACATACTTTATTTGTGCGTGTACCATTAACCAAAATCATGAATTATGTTCTACGCAATTGCTTTTTTGAATAAATATTTTAACACTATTGCGTGGCTGATGAATTTAATAAATAAATAATAGTCAATATAACTAAACACACTCTCTTTTATTTAACAATATAATTAAAATTAAACAATGTCTTCACATAGAGAATAAAATTAATAAAAAGTTAACTCCAAAGTCTTATATATATATTTTGTAAATAAGTTTCAAAAATAATTGTTTCTCGATTGCTCGCGTGTCGAGTACTAAAGTTTCACCACAATTACAATTAAAATAATATAATATTCGTTTACCTTTGTCAATGACCGACACATTTCGGCTTCTAATCTTCTAACATTCTTAACATTCTGCCCGCCTTGAACGGGTACGTTCAATCAAATTTCATTCTATAGTCAGTGGCGAGACTTTCTTTACACCTCGAATAAACGTCCCGTTTTGAGTTTTTATCTTTACGACTCGAATTATTCCGTCGTCACCCGGAAACAGCTCAATGACTCTTCCCAAACTCCAACGTAAAGGAGGGAGATTGTCTTCCCTTAAAACAACTAAAGTATCTTTTTTTATATAAACAGCCGAGCCTGTGTGCCAATTGGATCGTACGTTAATTTCGTTCAAATATTCACGATTCCATCGCTTCCACAGGTCTGACTTAATCTTTTGAATATGTTCCCAACTGGACAATCTGTTCGTGGGAGTTTGGGCATAATCTTGTGCAGGAATAGTTTTCATTGATGAACCAATTAAAAAATGTCCTGGTGTCAGTGCGTTCATGTCGTTCGGGTCGTTAGATAAGGGCGTAAGTGGTCTAGAATTTAATATTGATTTCACCTCACACATATATGTATAAAGTTCCTCGTACGTAAAAAGAGTCTCGCCAATTGTCCTCCGTAAATGAGTCTTGAGTGACTTCACGGCCGCCTCCCAAATTCCACCAAAGTGTGGAGTTCGAGGCGGTAAAAAGTGCCAGTCTTTATTTTCATCTGCTAATTATTTAGTTATCGTTAGATTATGATTTTCAGCATTTAGGAGGCCGCGAAGTTCACTCAACTCATTTTTAGCGCCAACTCTCTCTCTCTCTCACTGCATACAAAGTTCCATTAACACCAGAGTGCATATATTTTTCATGATATTCTCGAATAATCAAGTCTGTGATGGGATGCTTTTTTGGAAGGAGAATAGGATGTTGTTGATCAAAGGATATTAATGATTCTTTTATTCTTCCTCCAACTCTGATTAATTCTTGCTCGATGATTGGATTTAACTTTAATAACTGAGATTTTTTCCTTAGCTGTCCACCTTTAGCAAGTTCATGGATCTCTTCAGCGAATTCCTCTTGTTGAACTAGAAAAATGATTTTGTTGTGTGCTCGGAGTATTTCATCAGGTGTTAATTGTGCTGAAATTTGAATTTTCTTTGATGTTCTATGCAAGAAACGCAAACAGTAAGCGATGACGTTAATCAACTTTCGAAAGGATGAAAATCGCTTCCACAATTACAAATTTGTTGTTTTCTTAGCTGCGATCAAGACTATGTTTTTTCTAGCTTCAGGCACCTCTGTACACTCCAATTGATGCTTTGGCCAATGATTTTTTGATAATTGTAGCCAGCTTGGTTCAGTTTTCCACATTGAATTCTTTATAAAATCTGATGGCATTTGACCTCGTGAAATTGCATCCGCTGGGTTGTCCTCTGACTTCATGTGACTCCACATCTCTATGTTGCTTGATCCTTGAATCTCTGCGATGCGATTTGACACAAACGTATTGAATTGATGAGGCGAAGATTTGATCCAGCTCAATACGATCATTGAGTCTGACCACAGCTTGATTCCATCGATCTTACAACTCAATGATTTTTTTACATCTGTCAGCAATTTCGTCAACAATACAGCGGCGCAGAATTCCAACCTGGTCAAGGTTACCGTTTTAACTGGTGCAACTCTCGACCTTGCACATAATAAGTTGCTTCGAAAATCATCACCCTTTCCAATTCTTACATAGATGCAGGCACCATAGGCCTTCTCACTGGCATCTGCAAAGCCATGGAGCTGCATCTCATCCAATCCCTGTGATCTAACTGGTCTCTCCACACTCCAATCATTAATCACATGAAGTTGAGCTTGATATTCTTTATATTCTGATAGGATTTTTGGAGGCACTGGATCATCCCAAGAAGTTTTGGTTTTCCAAAGATCCTGCATCTTTATCTTTGCGAATGTAGTCATCGGAGCGAAGAGGCCACAAGGATTGTAGACCTTTGCTATATTTGATAACATGATTCGTTTTGATGTGATTTTTTCATTTTGATTAGCTGAAATCTTGATATAAAGAGTGTCGTCTGCTGTATTCCACATCACCCCTAAAGTTTTCGAATTTTTTTCCAGATTTAATTTTAAATCTGAGTCAACACCTTTAGGTAATGTTCCAGAAATATCAGGAATATTTGATCTCTACTTCGTCAAATTAATCCACCCTTCTTAGTCAGCTTTATCAAATCATTTTTCAACTGCAATGCTTCCTCGATAGTATCAGCTCCTGTCAGAGAATCGTCCACGTAGAAGTCTTCGTTTAAAGCTTTGGCTGCTTCAGGAAAATTGGATCCTTCGTCGATAGCCAATTGCTTAAGACATCGAACTGCCAAAAAAGGTGCCGCTGATGTTCCATACGTTATTGTTTTTAATTCATACGTTTTTACAGGTTTATCTGGATCTTTTCTCCACAAGATTTTCTGGAACTTCCGATCTTTTGGATGAATCCAGAATTGTCTGTACATCTTTTCCACATCCGCGCTGAGAGCAATTCGATGTTGACGAAATCGAATTAATAAGCTGAACAATCCGTCCTGAATGACTGCTCTCACTAAAAGTGTTTCATTAAGCGAAATTCCAGTGTCTGTCAATGATGATCCATCAAAAACCACTCTTGAAAGAAAAGATTGCTTGATCACCGTCTGGTGTGGCATATAGAATCCTTCCTCCGGGCCACTAGTAGAAAGCTGCATGTGACCAAGATCCTCATATTTCTCGAGAAATTCATCATATTTCTGTTTTAAATTGGCATCCTTCAAGAGTCTTCGTTCTAAAATAAAAAATCTACGTTTAGCAATGTCATATGAATTTCCTAAGTTTTCTTTCTTTTTATTGAACGGTAAACTGACGATGTACTTTCCTTCTGAGTCACGCTGAACATTTTGTAAACAATTTTTTTCACATTCTGACTCCTCTGTAGACAAATATTTAGTTTCAATTCCTTTATCGATTCTCCAAAATTTCTCCAACTGAACGGTCAATACATCCCGCACTAGGTTGCATTTTAATCCCCGATGTAATTGGTTATTGTTTATTCTACCCGTGACAATCCACCCTAATTTAGAGTTTTGTAGTGAGATATGTGGCATCGCGAGAGAAATTGTGTTTTGTTCCAGTAGTTCATAAAACAGCTCTGGTCCAACTAATATGTCTACTTCCGCTGGCCTGTGGAATTCTGGATCAGCTAAATTTATATGTGGAGGAATCTCAAATTGTTTTTTATTTATAAGAATGGATGGGATTTCACTTGTTATTTTTGGAAGGATGAGAAAAGAAAGTTTTGTTGTATATTTTGCATTACTAGATTCGAACATTGTTTCTACCCATTCAATACTATTTATTTTGTTATTATTCAAAACTTCAATCGCAGAATTTAATCTTTGTTTTTTGAGATTTAATTTTTTAGCTAATTGTTCAGTCATCAAATTTGGTTGTGATCCACTATCTAAGAGCACCCTACAACTATGTCGCTTACCGTTACTGTCAAAAACATATGCAATCGCAGTAGACAAAATAGTCATTGAAGAGTCAGTAACATGGCAATTTTTATTATACCATTTCCAATCGAATTTGCAGTTACTTCATTTTCCGAATCTTTTATTATGTCACGATGTAACATAGTATGATGTCGCTTATTACACTTACTACAATTTCTAGATCTACAGTTTGCAATTAAATGATTCACTCCGAGACAATTGTAGCACAATCCTTTCTTTTTAATTAATTGAATCCTTTCATCAACAGAAAGTTTTGTAAATTCTGAACAATTATAAACTGAATGATTATCTTTACAAATTGAACAAATTATTTTGTTATTAGTATTTAAAAATTATTTACCAACTACTCTTTTATCTGAATTATTTTGAACTTTGTTATTTACTTTCTGTTTATTTTGCTCCGAATTTCCATGATTCATTGTTTCGAGCATCTGACAGCGTTCTTGTAGAAACTCAGTCAGCTGCTTGAAAGTAGGTATCTCATTTCCCTTCCTCGATCGTTCCCACTCCCTTCTAGATTCCTTGTCAAGTTTTGATGCTATAATACAAATTAGAGCCGTGTCCCAACTCTCGGTAGGTTGCTTTAACATTTTCAATCCGCGTACGTGTGTCAAAATTGAGTCAAGTAAATTACGTAAACACGCAGCTGAATCTTTACTAGGTTATGCTACCTAAAGAATTGCCAACATATGAGTATTTATTATTAAACGTTTATTATCAAATCTCTCTGCTAATAAAGTCCACGCAACATCATAGTTCTCGTCAGAAATTTCTAAATTTTCAATTACCCGTGCGGCATTGTCTTTTACATAAGATTTTAAATATCGTAATTTCTGGACCTTAGGGATGCTATTGTCATTATGAATAATTGCAGTAAATAAATATACCGACCGAGAAAGTGGGAAGATCGAGACTGAGTAACGGAAAATGACTTCTTACTATTTGTGATTCACTATCGTTAGTAGACAATCGTGTCGTTGCCAAAGTTCTTAAATGTGTTAGTTCATTTTGTCTCTGATTATTCAACTCTAATTCTAATTGTGCTACAATCGCTCGTTGTCGGGTTAATTCGTTCTGTTCCGTGACCGTCTTTCGAAGTGTCAATTGATTGATAATTTTTGTCGCTAAAGCTGTATAACTAAAATAATTATTTTCAAAGAAAATTTTTATCATTTCTCTCAATTTGTTTAAAGATGAGTTCAAAAATTTAAGTTAAAACGTATTTTCTCACGGTTTTTCTCAAATCGTTCAAACTTTCACTTTCTTTATAAACTTACTCACAAAAGCAATTGAAAACTGCAAAACATGTGCTAGCCAGAGTCGAGTCCACCCTTTTTTATGACATTGCCTGCGCTCAACCTTGGCTAGCGAATCTCATTAGTTTTTGACTAAAAAGACTTTTCCAAAAACATGAAAAGTGACATCTTAAAGAAAAACATTGCTTTTCTCCCATCTTTTTCTAGTATCGGTACATCGGGTAAAGGATAAGGCCCTTTTTGCTCAAATCGGGTAGTTAGTTCGCTTTTGCCATAGCTTTCGAAGAGACCTCGCAAAAGTGTTAACGTTAACCGGACACTCAAACGTCACAAGTCTATTCTCAACAAACTGTTATTTGATCATATCAAAATCAAGTTACTCTCTAAAAAAAGGGGATAACATTCTGGATAAGTCCTTATGTGAAAGTCTATTATCTCTGTTGATTCTCTCCCTTGCGGGCCCTTATGAGTTGTGTTATCCCTGCAAGGGACCCATTCTCGACCTTCCAGAGTGTTATCATTCTCACAAAAGGTTATCAATCTCTTAAAGTTATCAAATCTCTTAAAGTTATCATTCTCTTAAAATCGTGTCAAGTCTCTAAAAATTATCACTCTCTTAAAGTTATCAATATCTTAAAGTTATCATTCTCATATAAGTTTACCTTCCTTAAGATTATCACTCTATTAAATGTGTTAACAATATACTAAAGGTTATCACTCAATTAAGAAACTTTATCATTTCCAACAACATGGTATATTTTTCGTAAAAGTTATCACTCCAATAACAGAGTTATAAAATTGATAAAACGTACTCTCAATCGTATCAAAAGTGTTATCATACAATATTAATGTGTTATCCTGTTTGTACTGTGTTATCTTTCAAAATCAGTGATGTTATCTATTTATTAAACAATAATATACTAATAATTTTGGTGTATTTTATGCGTGTTAATTCTTTGTATTTTCTTCAAATGAAAATACGTGAAATTCTCTAAACATTTTTGGTTCTTCGAGCCGGATATTAAGTGATATTTTGGATATCAGTTCAAGTGATTTTAGTTTTCATCCGTGTTTAAAATGAGAGTGTCTCATATAAAAAATTATCTTGACGATCAAGTGTCGCATATGGATTTTATATCAAGTGCTGTGAAGAACTTAACAAGTGTTGGTGTGTCTAATGTGTCATCACATCGTATTGAAACGCGAAAAACCGCCCTTCAAGAGGAATGGAGTAAATTTACATTGAAAAATGATGCAATTAAAATTGCTGTCCGTCGATTAACATCGCGAGATAAGGAATACATTTTTCGACGCTCTTATTTTTCTGAAAAGCTTTTCAATGCCACACAAGAAGCATATCTTGAAGCTTTGGAAACTATGGATTCGATGCTTGATCGTTTAAAAAAGGATTCACGTTCCCCTTCTGTTCAATCAGGTTCACAAGTGTCATCTTTTCCCTCAAGCGGACATTCTGGTCCACGTTTACCTTATTTAAATTTACCGAGTTTTGATGGTTCTCCCTCGGAATGGCTACCTTTTAAAGATTTGTTTGATTCTATGGTGTTATCAAATTTATCTTAATCACCCGTATGGAAACTACACTATTTGAAACAATGTCTCAAAGGAACTGCAGCTCATTTACTAAAAAATACAACATTAACAAATGACAACTTTCAAAAGGCATGGGATTCTTTAATTGCTTTCTATGAAAATAAACGGTTATTAGTCAATTCAGCTTTGTATTCATTCATCACACTCAAAAGAATGACAAAGAAATCATCTGTGGAAATGGAAAACTTATATACTTCTGTCACGCAAATTCATCGTTCTTTAGAAACTCTCGGCATATAATTTTTTTAAAAATTTTTTCTAAATAATTGAATTCTTTTGACAAATTTTATTAAAATGTATAAATAAATTTATTATTATATTTTAATTAAATATAATTTTACATTTTAATACAATTTTTAATATATCTATAGGGGAGAGTCGGTAGTGGTGTGACATGCTTTATGTTTTTAGTGTATCACCCATATTTTCATGAATACATAGTAGGGTGGTCCAAAAAAAGTAAAATCAGAATTTTAATGCTCTCACCCCCTAGGATTATTCTATATGGAGAAAAAAAATACCCCCATTTTTTTTGAAAATAAAAAAATATTTAGAGGTCGCTCAAAGCGCTCAAAGTTTCTCACGTAAAATGCATGGGAAAAAACACTTTTTCGTAGAATTGGTATAGAATCCTTGAAAATTAATATTTTCCATTCAGCAAACTCTTTCTCTTCAGAAGACTTTAAAGAATAGTGCTAAATTATTTATTTAATCATTTTTTTAAATTAACTATTTTTTATAGGTACCCCAAAAAAACCCCATTAATTTCAAAATTACAAAAAAATCGTTAAAAAATATTTTTTATTATTTTTATCAAAGTTTTTTCCTAGATTATGAAAGAATAACACAACTATTGACTTTTAAACATTATTCCATGTAATTGCTAATTTGTTTAAACAAATTATTATTGTTTATTTATAACTTTTTATCTAATTGAGCTAAAGTGTTTCGATTTTTTCTCAATTTTGCAATTTTTCAGGCCGAATGTAACCAGTCACTATCAACTAACTAAGAATTTTAAGTTTACCAATTGTTTAAACAAATTACTATTGTTTAATTTTATCTTTTTATCAAAATGAGCTACAGAGTTGCAACTTTTTTTTAATTGTACATTTTATTTTTTTTGTAAGGTAATAATTAATGTAAGACTTAATTATCGAGTAAAAATTGTGAACAATAAGTTTTTTATTATAAAAATGATAAGTACAAAAATTTTTATTTACGTCATTGAAATTACTACTGCGATAGCTTCAAATTTAAAATAACAATTTGTTTAAACAATTGGTAAAATTGTAATTCTCAGATTGTTGTTAGTAACTAGTTACATTTGGCTTGGAAAATACAAAATTGAGAAAAAAATTGCAACTCTGCAGCTCAATTTGATAAAAAGATAAAATTAAACAATAGTAATTTGTTTAAACAATTAGTAAAATTAATATTCTTAGTCAGTTGATAGTGACTAGTTACATTCGGCCTGAAAAGTTGCAAAATTGAGAAAAAATCGAAACTCTTTAGCTCAATTAGATAAAAAGTTATAAATAAACAATAATAATTTGTTTAAACAAATTAGCAATTACATGGAATAATGTTTAAAAATCAATAGTTGTGTTATTCTTTCATAATGTAGGAAAAAACTTTGATAAAAATAATAAAAAATATTTTTTAACGATTTTTTTGTAATTTTGAAATTAATGGGGTTTTTTTGGGGTACCTATAAAAAATAGTTAATTTAAAAAAATGATTAAATAAATAATTTAGCACTATTCTTTGAAGTCTTCTGAAGAAAAAGAGTTTGTTGAATGAAAAATATTAATTTTCAAGGATTCTATACCAATTCTACGAAAAAGTGTTTTTTCCCATGCATTTTACGTGGGAAACTTTGAGCGCTTTGAGTGACCTCTAAATATTTTTTTATTTTCAAAAAAATAGGGGTATTTTTTTCTCCATATAGAACAATCCTAGGGGGTGAGAGCATTAAAATTACGATTTTATTTTTTTCCCATGTATTTTTGGACCACCCTGATACATAGTCTGCATCTATGAAAGCAGACAAGTCGAACTATCTTTTGCAAATTTACAGAATATAGATAGCATATGTCTTCAAAAATAAATAGCTGTCACCGAATTACAATAATGTCCCACGACCACCGACATTAA